GCACGACATGGAGTGCAATTTCTTGTTTTGACGAATGAGAGAATATCAATAACGATTAACTTTGCTTTCACCTCAAAGACGGCGATGCGTATCGTGTTCTTAACCTCATCTCCAAACAGACAACAATGTGGCATGCAATCGTTCGGAGCTCATTACGATTTCAAAGTGTCTAATTACCAAGTGCAGAACACCGAATTAATTCTAGAGACGCTTCTAGCTATCGATGTGACGAAAAAAATCTCCAGCCTTTCTCTTCTCATACTACTCAGCGAATCTCAACCAAGTGAATGGGTACCTCAATCATTGCATTTGCTGACGTAGTTTGAGGGGCGTTGAGAACAGCTGGTTTTGATGTTTTACGTTGTCGTTTATGTTCGCATGGTTACACCCTCGCTGAATGTGTTCCGTGTTCAAATGTGCTGTTAAGCAAATATAATTTTGTCCTCGTAAGTACTGTTCCTGCGAGGGCGACCGAGTTTGACTCTTGATTGCAGTTACAATCTCTATTCTAAACGAAGGATTGCTGGTTCAAATCCAGGGTATAAGATGATGTTCTTTATCATGTCATGTGAAATAAAACCTGTGAAGCACCCCGTCATCGTGCTTCAAACCTTTTTTCACTGACGAAAGAATATGAAGATAATCATATTACAAACACGAATAAAGATTTTGATCCCATGCACATATTTTTTGGATTTTTTGTGTAGAGAAATTTTCAAATTTATCTGAGAGGAAACGCTAATATTTTTAAAGTAATGACTTTACTGTTGCTTAGTTCAAATGCATTCGTATATTATAACTGAAAGAACGAAAAAACTCAGCATGTTGTGTTGTATTTTCCTGCAACAAGCTGCGGAGCATTCGTCTACCCATTTCTTGCAGCACACAGAACGTACATGCATACTTTCAAAATATTTATGTATGTACGTTCTTGCTTATCTCATGCTTGCATGTGCATCAGTGTCGTTTTGGTGTCAATGTTATGTGTGCAAACATTTGAGTGGTCAAGATTCACTCTTATATCTGCCATACCGCGGATTCCTGCTCTCTCTCTCTGTCATCCATTGACGCAGAGGGTTACAACCAGTCTACTACTCATAGCGATCACGTGTTGGAGAAAGCCAGTCAGCAGTTGCATGGCGCGCTGGTAGTCTTTGTCGTTTCCTTCTGCCTCCCCGTTCGGCCGAGACACTGCCTTGCCTGTCAGTCGTTACCTTTCACGAAGATTGCTACACGGTCCTTCATATACACCTCCGCCGCTGCCCGATATGGAGCCGAGTCCGGCGACCAGGTCCAAGAACAGTCTCTGCAACGGCATCGCGAGAGCCTGGAATTTTCGTAACCAACGTATTTTACGGTGGAGTTAAAACATGATTTCTACATTTATTATAGATCGTGAAATCATTGTGTTCATGGCAAATCACAGGAGCTATTGGTTCCTTTATTGCAGAATTTACCAGTGAGGAAAAAAACAATGATTGCAGTACATTAATCCCTGCAGATATAACAGTTCGTTTTGAATCATTCGCTAGTGCAATTGTTAATAATTCCAGTTATTATTATTGTAAGTGTGCATTGAATTTAAAGGCAATACATTTGTTATTAGAGAACTGAATATTTGTTCTTTATGAAGTGTTACAAATGATTTAATTACATAAACACACAAATTATACCCGAACCGAACATTATCCATTCAATTCGCAGAATAGTGTGTGTGTGTGTGTAAAGATCTCAATTGAGGCCAAATAACGATTATCTTTCATCATTACGACGGACAATTGCATTAACACGGGTGTTGCTACATATTCCCGTTATCTGTGGTTGATTTTCGCAATCACGCTGATCGCGTCGCGCTGCGCGATCGTTGATTATTTCCTTTAAGCATCAGTTGCCGGTGACGAGAAGTTCCACGTCGGTCGCCGTCGCCGTCGCCACCGCCTCCAGCCCGCTGGCGCAAAGCGCGCGGCTCAGCTCGGCGCTGCGCGGCCATCTGGGGTTGCGCAAGGCGGCGCACCGCGCACAGAGCGAGGCCCGCGCGTGAAAGCGCCCATTTGCATACAAGCATCCACGCCGCCTTTGCTTTGGGGGTCACGCTGGAAGGCGGCGGCGGGCGGGGGAGGTTGCGAGGGAGTTGGCGGATGCTCGCCTTGCGGACAGACTGCCTGCTGGCCCACCTGCGTTGCAGTCGGCGCGCCGCCGCGCTCACACGCCCGGAGGCATTCCAGGGCTTCCTAAAAGGCTACGGCTAAACGGTGGTGTTTGTCTACTCGCACTTTGTTCACAAAGGTTCTGGTTTCCTGAGCGGATGTTGGACTGGTTTCCACAAATGCAATACTTTATATTTGTCAAGAGTGTCTGAGGACTTGAGAAAAGAGAAAGAATGAAGGTAAATTTCATATTCACGTTTGAACACATTCCTATTCTTCAACAGTAAGCTCGTTAATATATGGATGTCCGTAGTAAATGTATATGAGTAAAAATCGGATATAGGTAGTCGATTTAGAGTAGTGGGTAATAAGACTGTGCACAAAGAATACAAACCATTGTCAGTGGGTAAACTATTATAAACTATAAACGACGCATAAAATGACTTGGTAAAGACAAAGCAGGGATATCAGAGTAAGACACATCGCGATAAGTAGAAGACTAGTGTGTTGACATGCGAGTAATGTACAAAACGTGGAATGGAGCGAGTGAAATTGAAATAAAACTAAAGCGGCGGAAAAGAATTGAACACAAAACAAATCCGAGGTTGAGGGCCAGTTTTCACAACGAGGGCCTAAAACTCCGTTGAAGGAATTTAAAGAACCTGATTGACCGGTGCCAGCGGCGAGCTCCCATGCGGCGACGCGGTGGCGCCTGCACGTCCACCTGAGCTGTAATTGAGACCTCGGCGCAGGCGGGGGCGCCTGTGCCTGCGCGTCCCGCGGGGCCCGCTCCCCCTCTCCCCCCGCGCCCCACTCGGCCGCGGCGGCCCCTCTCCCCCACGCGCACAATACAGCGCGCGCCGCCGCGGCCGCCCGCGCCATTGAAGGCGGTGACGCGGCGCTTTTTTTTGTTCCGTGGGCCCAGCGCCCTCTGGCGGTCGTCCGCGCCGCCCGCGCCGCCCTCGCGAACCGCCGCATCCCGCCCTGCCCGACGCCGCGCTCGCGAGGACTAGCCTCTCGCGCGCCTCGCCGATCGAATTCCTTGCTCGCTGATCACGCAATGCATCAATACGCCAACTGGCCAACTCACGGCGACGCGAGATGTTGTGGAAAAGAGGACTGGGGTAGTGATACAATTAGTGCGGTCGAATATATACTTCAATCGTATTCAATCTACCGCACTCCTTTCATTTCATTGAATGAACACAATGAGTGTGCAACTGTGCTTTACAACTCGCAGTGTAGTTTGGAAGAGAGAAATAAAATGTAATAAATGTAAAAACAATAGTGTTATTCTCTTTTAACAAATATAATTAAAATAATATGTACGAAAAGCGTATGCCCGAAACGTAGCTTTTGTGTTAAATGTTCAGATGTTTTAAAAATCGTTTTAAAAGGAATGATAATAATTGCTTATAGAACACAATGTCCATTACGATGCGAAATAAATTCAGTGTTCTTTTGCATTGTTAACTTCATCTGTAATTCAACAATGAATAGATATCACCGTAATTATTATTACTTGTAATGTTTAAAAAAACTTGTAGTTCCCCGAAGTAGTTCCCTGAAGTGGCCATCCAGAAAGTTGCCGGAACGCGTGGCATACATTTGAAGCAGTGGGCGGAGTGGCGGAAGTATCTTAGCCGCAGAAAAAGCACAATCTCTCTTTCAAAAAAATACACTTATGAACTTGGTTTCAATCGTTTGCGGAAAGTGGATTTGCGTCGCGCTGCTACTTGTTTCGTGGTGGGACGTGACTGGGACCTGTGTAATAGTCGCTATAGAAATGCAAATAATGCGTCGAGCACGGCGGATCGGACATTCTCCTTCGTGCCAAAGAGAACAATGGTGCATACACGCTCCACCGGCTTTGTTGTAGGGGTGGAGCTAGACCCCTGGAGTGACGCCAACTGACAAGGTCTCCTGGAGCATGCGCGATTCTGAGTAATAACACTTAACCCGCCGCTGCGCTGTTCGACCGCCCGACGCAGTCGCGATTGGTAATTGCCAAGTGCTTGCGGCCGCTCGAGAACGCAGTTAGCGAGTGTTCAGCATGGGACTGCATGGTGTAACGGCGTGGGTTGTTATTCGGACATACATTACGCGGACGTACATTACATTGCAAATTGGGTATTTTATTTGTTAGTACACGGCGTTCGCATGCAGAGTCTTTTGCATGGTTATAGTAAAGCAATGAGACGTGTACTTAAAACAGAACACGCGGGAAAACCGAGAAAATTGCCACCTTAATTTAAGAAAATAGACGTAAGTGACATAATATGTTCCGAGAAGCTTTAGCAAAGTTTAGATTAAGTTTCATTAAAGCGAGTTTCGTGAAAATAAAATTATACCCCAAGACGCAACATTCAGAAAATAATTTAATGGAAGCCATTCCAACATTCCCTTACAAAACATCTGGGACTCCAGAAACGTTTCAAAAAATAGCGACGTTTAATTTGTGGAAGTGTCAGTTTTTAAACCAACAACCATGCATATTCATTCCGTGTCAGATTAGTAGAACATATCTCCTTAAAGTAATGATACTGAGATGACAACATCTCCTTATTATACATCATAGAAAAAGTCGGGGTTAGATTTCTAACAGTGAAGTCTACCGATTCAAATATTGTCCGAGTTAAAAAACTGTGGATATCTGCAATTCAGAATATTCGATTTAAAATAATAATAGCTTCTACAGAGGACGGTGCTATGTGGCGTGCAGCTAATACAATATAATATTTGGTAGTTAGAGATTTTTGTACTTTTGTTTTATGTTTGTACCTCTCTTATTTGCAATGCGCAGATGATCAAAAAGGGTTTGCTTTCTCCTTACATGATTTCTTTCTGTTCCAGAGAACGCGATGATTCTGACAGGAACAGTGTGTCCAGTAACGGATCCGGATGGGGACCTGACGTAAGTAACGCGATGTTCGCCACAAATGCAAATTCGCATTTTCGTCTACCATTGGACATTTTCCTCATTTCTCTGTTCGTAAGAAAGTCTTTTCGCAAGTTACTCATTATTTTAATAATCACAGTATCTCAATTTTTTATCAATTCCCACAAATACAAATCGATCATGTTCCTAATTCGAAATAGCAAATTATCACCGTGATACTTGTTTCTTTCTTATATTCAAAGTCGTAGTTCGTACTCTTGACGCATATTAAAACTCACACTTTTTTTCCTCCAGAAAATACACATTCCAACGTAGTCACGTAATTAAACACTTAACGGAAACTTCACGTAAATCGCTATCCATTGGAGGCAAGCGCTGAATACCAAGTAATACACCTCTACCGTACTTTTAGTGATCGGGCGATTGCCAAGATATCCCAGGTATAGCATGCTAGGAATTCAGGAAGCTAGTACGTGTAGGGTCTTGTTGCAGTTCTTGGTGCACAGTTAAGACAAAAATTACTTTCCTTGTTGGATTCAAACAAGACACAACTTTCGATCTTAACAATCTTGTACCAGTTCATAACTACAAATAAAATGTAAAATACAAAGGATATTTTTTTTCCAATGTATGTACCCGTTTTTTTGTCGATAAAAAAAGAAATAAAACCAACATCAATTGATCAAAATTTACTTTCTTTGCCAAAAGTCGACTCAGAATATGTAAAGAGATCACAACTTCAAACGTGCTTTTCCTTTCGTTAACTGTTTTTAAGAATGTCTTTCTATATGTGTGTCTCTCTCTCTTCCTCCTTGTCTCTCTCCCTTCCCGTAGCCCACGTGTCGTGCTCACGTGCTCTGTCTGCTGTCCACAGTCGCCTCCAGGCGGGCCGGGGGGCCCTGGTGGGTCCAGTGGGCCCGGAGGCGCAGGGCCATCCGGAGGAGCGGGGCCCTCGGGCGGGCCTTCCCCGGGCCCCTCGAGCAGCGGGGGCTACTACGCCTCGGGCTCCAACTCGGAGGCAAGCCCGGGACCGGGACCGGGACCGGGCCCGGGCCCCAGCACCAGCGCCGGCGCCGGCGCCAATCCCGGCGCCAACCCTGGCGCCAACCCTGGCGCCAACCCCACTCCCAGCACCTCGTCAGGCGCCAGCTCGAGTTCTAACTCCGGACCCGGCGACAACCCGTGCAGCAAGCACTCTCGTTTTCTCCTCTGCCCGTCGCTTGTGACGGTCAACATTCTCAAGAAGTTTCTCCGCCTCAAATTCGAGCTTCCGGAGACGCATGATGTAAGTAATTGATACTAACGAGATTCTGTAGGCCGCAGTCCCGCTTTATGGATTTTGTAGGCTGTAAGCGTTTTTGCGATGTTTTGTAGTACACACGTGTTTTATATGGGTAAATAGCAAGACGCAAATGCTTTTTCGTCGTCCAAAGTTATCTTATCAAATATTAATTTCTTACAGAAGACAAAATATTCTCCAAGAAAATATTAGTTTCTGTTGTCCTATACGTGTCTTGTGAAACAAGATTTTTGCAGCTGTATATCACGTATGATTTGTAATTCTACCGTCTTCATTGAATTGGATTTTCAGACGAACAATTTTCTCTTCTTGTGTATGAGAAATGGCAGGTAGCAATCATAGGTTTGAAAAATCGATTGTTAGTTTATGTCCTTCTATTGTTTATTACTATACAGCGTACAAATTGTAAAATGTTTTGTATTAAAACATATAACTTTCGCAAAATGTTTTATAATAAGATATTTAAAACATGGGTAGTAAATAGAATGTAAATTTAATAAATAAATAAATAAATAAATAAATAAATAAATAAATAAATAAATAAATAAATAAATAAATTACTAAATGAAATGACCGTAAAAATCCCATACGTATTCAATTTTAAAAGTTGTGAGATCCATAGATCATCGGATAGATCAATTAATTCTGAAAGGAAAAAACTTTACCAATTCAGTATTCTCCTGACTAATCATTGACGGAAGAATATAATATAACTTCAGGCATGAGCTTTTGATAAATAGAGACAGGTACGATGTACCGCCGAGATGGAACCAAGAGAGAACGTTCCTCTTTCATTCTTCGGCGTGAGGCCGTACAGTAATGAGTGGAAACCTGGGAGGCATGCAGCGCTTAGTCATGCGTTGCGTCACGCAGGGCGACCAGCGACCGGCTTCCGATGACTGGCGTCCGACGACCTCTGAGTGACGACTAGCACAGGCGGGAAAATGGGGACCGTGTCCCTCCAAATAATCCAAGATATTTGTTTTTATTTTCTTCTTTTTTTGGTAATTTTACTTGATTTTCTAAACAATTATACTATACTGATCACTCTCGCCAATTCAGATCGCAAAATATTTCATTTTTCTTAAATGAATGACGGTCGGAACTGAAATTGGCGTTAACCTTCCCCCTTGATATACTTCCTGCATCTACCCCTTGGACTACCGGCGATTGGGTTCAGAGCGATTCGATTCATTATTACGTATTTCCGGGCGCGACACCTACGATCATTAGTCCCATAAGTGGAGTGTTTGTTTTACCACGGGCCACGATAGTGTTTCCTCTTGCTGGAAGGTGAGATCCAGCGCCGACCTATACCTTGGCTTGCAGGGTTTTCCTTATCGACTACCTTCCACCAGCGGGGCAGCGCCCCAGCCGGGACAAGCTCTAATCTCCTGATATGTCACTCTATATGTGGTAATATAGTGCGTGTAAGAGGGTGGGTGTAAGTAAGGGGGGATAGGTCTAGAAGGAGGACGGAAATGTCATGCGCGGTCCGTGGTCCGTTTTTTAAAGGAACTTCTCCATCTCAGCCCTTGTATACACCAGAGACCAAGAGAAAACCTTCCGATCTACGTTGCAACCGGCCGCTAGTAATCACCTCCAGACAGCGTCTGAACTTGTCCAAGCTGAGTAGCCAGTGAAGAAAATCCTTCCACCGTCAGGACGCAAACCCTAGAACCTCTCGGCCAGAGGCTCCGCAGTGACATCACTAGAGTAACCTGAGCCACTTCTAGAAAAGGAGGACCGATCTCGGAGGATCCGGGGGCGAGAACCGCATTATCCGCGCACTTCCTGAGCACGGACGACCCGAGATTTGGAGCACGTCCCCCCCCACCACCACCACCACCACCATCCGATCCACCCTCTTTAAATCGCTTTTCGATATCATTCCGCCCCTTGGAAGCTCGTGCCCTTGGATTACCGTTCCTTCGTTCCGTTCTTCCACACACACAACACGTTTCCTCATCTCAAACACCTGCAACCCTTTCCCTTCTTTCCATCGATGTCTTTTTTCCTTTCTGCTTTCTTTTGCCGCGGCACTAAAAAGGTGGGGAATGAAATTTGCATTTATGTAAGGTATATTGTAGCTGTTGGTGATGACGTCTTCATAAAAATTCCAAATGTAGGATTTCTTTATCCTCATCTCGCTTTTGCTGTAATAATAGCCCATATATCTTGTTCCGTGTCTAACATTTTCTGTTTCCAAGCACTGATAGAATGCGAGCCTGAGTCAGAAAGCCTCAATCAACTATAATTAAAAGAAACGATTAGTGTTAATTGTTTACTATTGTTATAAACGTTTTCGTCTTTGTAAAAGTCCCGTAAAGGAAACTGGCCAATCGCTCAGGAAAGAACACGCTAATCGTTAGCCACGTGTGCACACAAAACAAATACTTCAAATAGTAGAAACTATTGAAATTAAAATATATGAATTCCAAAAATTTGAAAGAAATTTTTATTCCATACGTGTTGTTTCTGTGTTAAGCAATTTTTTGTGAAATGAGATATGATGTCAATTTGTTCCATAAATGAAATAATTTGTAAAATTGCCGTGATTTGTCCTGTCATATTCATTTTAATACATTACTTCTCTATTTTTTCTAATTGTAACGAAAGGTACTAAGGGATTTATTCTTTTAGGTGGAAATGCTGCACAAACGTGAAGTACTCTCCAATGAACTGACTCTTATGGACATCGCATATATCTATACATGGAAAAGGGTAAGTTAATATATTTTTTTTTTAATTTTTGTGTTCAACGAGTAGTAGAAAGTATAGTAAATGTGTGATTAACGAAGTCGGCGTCAAAGATGACACGTTTCAAGGCAGTTCGAACACAAAGTAACCATGAAGAAAACGAAGGTATTTCAACTATAATTAAAAGTCTTGGGCCTTGAAGTCTAAATACCATTTGCACCACGTCAAAATAGTACATTAAGTCATTTTGGTCAGATATTATTTGATGTATTAAAAAGTATGAGTAACAGCGTAATTATTAATCATTCAAATGAACTACAGTGATGCAGAGACGTCTTTAGAATTATGCTTAACCTTTTAATTCGAAGAGTCGAATTTTGTTTTAATAAAAATAAAAGGAGAGAATGATAAGGGAACGGCTGTCATTAGTGTAGCATTTGAGACCCTTTATTCAGTCACAAAAGACAAAATATGTCAGTTATTCAGATTTGTGGACATTAACCCATACGGCCATATTTCATTCGCAATCATTTCCCAGGATTCACAAACTTTGCTCCAAAACGCCCTTTAAATCGTAAGTTATTCAAAACTCGTACAGATTATCTCGTTTCCAATGTCCAATGCTGAAACTGAGTGGAAAACGAATACCACCCTACGCCGGCGGATCACATTTGGTAACACGAAATGGACCTGTTGGACCAGCCTTGTAGGTCGGACCGCACTCGTGCGCCATCAATCGCAGCAACATGAGGAAAGCGAGCTGACCTTCCCCAAGAAAAAGGTAAAAATGAACTTGGGCGACAGCCATCGCGATTTTTGCGAAAGCCCGTCTCGGGCGCCGGGCGGCGCCGCGGCCGTCCCGTCAGCCAGCGACGACGTCGACGTGGTCGTGGACGTGGACGTGCGTGCGGCGCCTGCAGTTCGCGGGCCACCGCTCGCGGCGTCCCTCGCCCGCCTATTGTTTCCGCCGGCTACCGTCGTCGCCGCCGCCGTCGCCGCCGCCGCCGCCACTGGTGCCGCCGCGCTACACAGACTTATTCTCTTGCATAACCAGTAGGACCGGTTTGCTGGGCGCGTCACAGGCGCTGTGCACCTTAAATTACGAATGCTGACTTTTGTGCAGCTCTCGCGGGCGGGCTTGGGAGGGAAGGGGGATCAGACGACGATGGGGGTGACGGCGGCGGAGGCGACGGCATCGAATAGTCCTCCTGGATGTTCCCAGGGCGCGGCTGTTCGTCGCGGCCACCGCCTGTGACCTCCGCCCTCAACACCAGAGCAGCCCGACACCGCCGGGGGCGCGCGTGGGAATTCGCACGGGTTCGCACGTGAACGAACGCCTGGCAACAAAACGGACGCGGGGAAGGGAATAAATGATCATTACTCTTCACTCGGAAGTACTGTGTGCTCATTTGCGCTTTCTCCGCAGACCATAAGATGTGAAAAATATAAACAGGGCGCGTTACCGAATCAATAGGAAACAGCAATATGCTTCGATAATGATAGTGCTCATAAACGAGTTACAGGAGAACCTAAAAGGTTACAAAGGCAAGTGCTTACATTATCACCGTAATACATACTTATGCGGGAAAAAAGTAAAATAAGTAAGTAAAGAAAAGTAGATAAATCGTATTACTATATACAGGAAATTACTTCTTCTAATAATTTTTTAAATGAATATTCACGTTTTGGGGTTTCTTGATCCCGACAAATTATTTGCGGCCAAATTCCTGCCTGTTTGGCAGCGATTATCGCTCCTGTCTAAACCTTTCAGTATATTTTCTTCAGAATTGATATTTCCCGGTTGATCTGGCCGAAATCAAGGTCCTGCGAATTTAAAACGGATATTTTGATTTTTGGGATTACTTTACATGAAGATTTACTTTAAATTTTCAAAACTTTCAAAACGATTGCTAACATTTTTTTATTAAAATTTTTCATCCAGTGGAGGAAATGAAACATTAAATAATGGGACAGGTTTCATTTTCGATGAGTTGGAAATTTTCAAACGTTTTGGATTTTTGGAAATTTTCAAACGTTTAAACCTTTATCGGTCGCTTCCTACAACTACGATGAACTGAAATTTTTCCTTAATATATGTTTCAAAAATTGATCTTTAAATAATTTCATGAAGTTATTTTGAAAATTGAGTAGTTCCCGTGTAATTTTTGCTTGAAGCAAAGGCAGTTAACTCTTTTTTTGGCTACAATGGATCCAAATTTTTCTTTCATTTTTTGTAACTAAAGTAAATCATTTTTTCTAAGTTCGTTTATGGAAATGGTGCTCTTCCATTATCGTTGAATTCTCTGAATTTTAAAAAATTGTAAAAGTTACAAATAATGTAGAAGAAAATGTGCTTTTGTTGCACCACTAGTTCGGTAATGCATTCGAGAGGTATTTCATATTGCAAAATTTGTAAAGGACTTTTAAAATATCTCACTCATTACATAAAGAACTAGTAGCACATACTTTCAAAAGCACACGAGAAAATCCTAACAGACGTCTCTGCGCTGATAGACATGTTTCACAATCTTGTGTTTACACATTTTTCCTATTAAGACTCATAGACGTGTACTTTACATTTAATCGAAGCGATTCATCGTAAGGAATAACAGTCGCCATTTATCTTTTCATTTTTCTTTCTTTACATGCTCTTTTGTTCTTCTGCCCACAGAACAGTCCCATGGCACTCCACTACAGGTTCTACGACGTGGATAGCATCCCTGAAGAGAACGTGCCCTATCTCCGGCCGATGTTCCCGGCATACTACCACCCGCCCAGACTTCATACTCAAGGACCGTCCGTACCCGGACCTTCCTTTCTTCGAACGCGATTGCGGCTGCCTGGATTTGTAGCCGTAAGATTAGTCAATCCTGCGCGAGTTGAAGCCGATGACAACGCACAGGGTTCAGCAGATAACGAGAATGTTGCGGATCGCAGTATTCGAGACGTTGAAAATAATTTGGACTCTCGCAAAAATGCTAAAGATGCTAAGAAAAATGCTTCCAAAGAGGATACCAAAGAAGTTGAGAAGAATCAAGCTCCTGGCTCAAAAGGGAAGTACAGTGCTGGATGCATTGTTAAGAAAGGCAAAAAGGCAGAAAAAAGTCACAACTCTCGTCAGGAAAGCATAAAACCTAATCCTCCAAAGAAACCAGAATGTGTGACATCTAGTGTAGAATCGTCTACGGAAGTTAATCAGGCCTCGAGCACAGTAGAGACTCCAGATTCTCAAAGTGTAGCAACTTCCACATCATCCCAAACTGAAACCTCTGTTGAATTACCTGTTTCCAGTACAAAGAAACAAAATGAAAAAGTCTGCAAGATTGAAAAGTCTAAAGAGTGTTCCAAGGTGGACTCTCGAGTAAACTCTCATGCAAATGTGGTAGATGGAGAGTGGTCTGATTCAAGAATGTCTGAGAGTTGCAAGGCTTCAAAAGCGGACTCGCAAGCGGAAACCCATCTTATTGATGACCAATGGAGTGATACAGGAGCGGTTGCTGGGCGAGAAATTCGAGACAAGACGAAAAGAGAAGCCAGTGAAAAGGTGAAAGCACTTTTGAGGGAAAAAATTAAAGCGCATTCACGAGACAGAGAGCATCCCATGAGGGAGGACATCGAGCTTAGTACTCAAGCAGATGCAAGAGCAAGTCCGGATGATGGAACGCCTATTAGCGAGGCAGATATTGTCATTAATACCTCCCAGGTAACTGAGATACCTAGTGGCGAGTTACGAATCGACGAAGAACCAAGGGACACAGAACCTACAAGTAGCAACTGCACAAAGATCGTTGCCGCAGCAGACGCGGGCAAGGTCGTTGCTGCCGCAGACACTACAGGAAGTCCAAACGCGTCTTCCGCTAATTCGCCGACGGATTCCTTGGATGGAGCTGACATCTCTCCGGATACAAACAAGGCGAACATGCTCGCCCCGGCAGCAAACACGAGCGACGTGAGCACGCCTAGAGCTGCCACTTGCGAACGTAAAGACAAGGAACCGGAACGACCGCGTATCAGCATCGGTCTCTTAGCATCTCTGGCTCTGGAAAGGCGACCCGGCAGCGCGCCGGCCACGCCCTTGCGCAAAAGGCCAGCGGCTGAGCCGCACGCTCTGCCGCGCTCGCCCTCCGTCGCCACCTCCGCCGCCACGACTGACGAGAAACGCGTGCGCTTGGCGCACCGCCCGGCAGAAACGTCCATGCCTGGCCTCCTCAACATCGCTTCCAACCCTCCACCTCGCCCGGCAGTAACGCGCATCACGCCCCACACGCCTGCCGGCTCGGGCGCCGGCGCCGGCGTCGGCATCGGCACCGGCTCCGACGTCAGGACCTCGCCCGCCCGAGAAGAAAAGCGCGCCTTTCAACCACCTTTACCGAGGGATAGCTCCGCTTACATCTCCCACCGCCCTTACAAGCGAGACTACACTGGCTCTCGCGTCACCGATCGCGGTGCGTACACGACAGTCGCAGGCCGTGCAAAGAGCCCGACAGTGTATCCTTTGGGCCATAATCGTCCACCGACGCCAGCGCCGCACCGACAAGGTTCCTCTTCACCTCCGAGGGCGACGCCACTCTACCACATGTCGAGCATGTCAAACATGCCAACCATGACGAGCAACAAGCTGTCGTCCATCCCTCGCCTGATTCAGATCCAGCCGCAAGGCCTGGGAAGCAGGGCGCCGCCGGCAGAGAAAAAGCCGCGCGTGTCCGCTCCAAGCGCTCGGCGTCGCAGAGCGGAAAGCTCCGCCACACCTCAGCAAACCCAGCGCACAGACGGCTTCGGGGCGCTCGACCTGTCGGCGAGCACGCGCACGTCACGCCAGCCCCCTGTCGCGGACATCGCTACGATCGCACAGAACTTGGCGCGGCGCCAGATTCTGCAGCACGCAGCCGCGGCGGCGGCCGCGGCGGGCGTCT